TTGAAGATTCTTGAGTTCCTGAGCTGGGGCTCACTTGCAATAAAGAGAGTAAAACATTTTTTCTTGCTTAAAATTACCATAAAAGAAAAATTTTTAATAAAACGGACGCGATCAGGAAAGAGTTCAAATATATCAATTTGATCTGTCTTATATTATATAATGATTAGATAGTTTCTACTTAAAAAAAGTATGTAAATTTGGTTAAAGTTTATAATATTAATACAAATTAGTCTATTAATTTTGTATCCTAAATAATTTCTTTATATATAGCAATTTTATTAATTATATGATACTGGAGTCAAGTTATAAAATAATAGTTTATCAAATAAAAATAGTTTTTATTTAATAGTTACATAATATTATTCTGATTCTTTTACTTTTTGATTATTCTCAAGTTATCGATATATATTTTTATTTTATACCTATTATATTTATTATATTTGATATATTATTTATATCTAATATATTTTTTATATTCAATATATTTTTTATATCTAATATACTTATTATATATTTTTATAATTTTTTATTATCTACTTATTATTTTTTTCTTGTAACAATACTATATATCATTACTTCATTTATTTATATAGAAAAATTATTTATATAAAAAAGTCTTGTTTCCTTTGAAAAATAATAGAATTATTTGGTTTTTTTCATATTTAATAAAGTTTTTCTTTATTAATTTTAATATTATAATGGTTTTACATTAAATATTATACAAGTAAAAGAAGATCAAAGTTTTTAAATAACAATATTATTAAGAAAAATATAGAGATTTTATTACAAAGAAATATAAAATATATATTTTTTAGGTTGTCAAAAGAATTAGTAAAAAAAGTTTAATTTTTTATTTTTTTTATTAATAAAAATTATTTTATAATCAAAGTTTTAATTATCATTATCAGTTTATATTTAAATTTATTAAAATATTATAATCTTATAAATATAATTTTCAAATAATAAAACTTGTAAATTTATAATACAGTAATTAACATTATTAAATTTTTATTATAAAATATAAAGTGTTAATTTCAAGTGAAAGCAATTAAATTAATCTAATATAATATCTAATTTTATAATTTGTTAGATACTATAATAAGTATTAAAATTGTAATATTGTGATATAACAATTAATTAATTAATATTATATTAGTTAGTGTCAAAGTTTAATATTTTTTTAAATATTTTTTAAATATATTTTTTTAAAAAATCCGAATAAAACAAATAGATTTTTTATATATTATATTATAGCCAATAGTATTATAATTTATTTTTCCGATTTGATATATTGCAGGTATAAGATCCAATATATTAATTATTTCTTAATTATATTAATATTTTTTTATTTTAATTTAATATTTCGTATTAATTTTGTATTATAGAAAATAATTCACAAAAGTTAGAGGTAATATTTATTTCAACCTAATGTTTGTAATATATAAATATTAGAAAGACTAATTTATAAAATCCCAAGTAATAAAGAGAGTATTCTAAAATAGTAGGAATAATAACACACCAACTATATGATAAGTAGCTATAAATAGTTACACTGGTAAGTTTATTATAAATAGATAGATTGAAATTATGTAGGAATAATATCTAGTTTGTAGGTATACTATTTGAAATGTATGCCTAGTCAAATATAATAAATATGAACTACACCAGTCGTTAAAAACATTTTTCAAATAGTAAAATTATATCGATAAAAATGTAATTATAAAAAAAAATGTAACGATAAAAATATCAAATAAAATTATGTACCATATCCTGAAAAATACTTATATTATCATTAGCATTGAGAAATTATACAGTAATTCAAATGAAAAGAACTTTTTAAAAAAATAGCTTCTTAAGATATTTTAAAATGAATTATGGAATTTTAATAAATAAAGGAATATATTGTATATTTATTATCGAACATTTTCATAAAATTAAAGAGTTTGTTATTTATTAATATTGTAAAAAATAGTATACTGCACATGTGCTATAGTTGAAAATATTAGTTATGTTATAATACAGAATTGATTTCCTTTTCACAAAATTATTACAAAAGAAATTTTTTTCTTACAAATACCGTGTATACAATATATAAAAAAGTTGGAATCAAATAGAATCGACAAGGTTAAATATATGACCGAAGGCAATTTTCATCGAGTCAATGTGAAAATTGGAATAGTTGTTTTTTTTTCATACATTATAAACATTAGATTTTTTTTTAACAAGCATTGCATTGCTTTATTTATTTATATATATATCTACTGTACAGTATATACAGTACCTTACATGCACACCGTTGGTCTTTACTGTCTGTATGTGAATTCGACATAGTCGATTAAATCCGTTGTAAACAAACCAGGTTCGCATTTGTCCTCGTGATAACGGTCACCCTCTTATGCCAACGATGACCAAGATCAACAGCAAGATGAAGAATCATGTTTTAAGATTAATATTATTGAAAATTTTTATTTAAAGACATCTTACATTACTCATTTCTTAAGATAAGAATTCCCGTATAACAAAGTAAAGGTAATCCAATACAAGGAATAACAATCGTTCTGGTTCACTAGCTTGTGTAGAGGGGTAGAAGTGAATAACATAAAAAGGGGATAAGATAATGTATGATAATAATAATGATAATAATAATGATGATAATAATAATTAGATATATGTATGTAAAGAGGGAAAAATACATTGAGTGAGAAGAGAAAGAAAAAAAAGAAAGGTCCAATATTCATGTAATTTATATTGCAAACCAACACCGGATTTATAATAATATATAAGTGGTACATTCATCTCCAAATATATATACAATATACACACACATAGAATAATATATATATTTTGATGAATTCCCAAAATATATATATGATGTATAAAGGCAGGTAAAAGAAATTTCAATAATCGTGTATATGGGTAACGGCGAAAAAATAATACAAGAAAATTGGGTTATTATGGTGGTACCATTGTGAAGTGAAACGTAACTTTTTACAGTGTACATATGTACAAGAAAAAAAAAGTCATAACAAAAAAAAAGTTAACACACACACACACGTTTTTTTTTTTGTCATTGCCTCCTTTTTTTTTTGAAAGAAAAATGAAAATTAAAAACAACTAAATCGTTACAAAAGAAGTGCAGAAAATAAAAATCATAACTTCTCTGCGGTCATTAACATAAATCATTCACACACGTTATGAATAATGATAAATGGGGGAGAAGAATGGAATAGACATTACATAAGTTAGAAGCGGGCGGAAGCCCATCGATACTTCCAGAAGGGAAGAGGCCAGCCTCCCTTGATAGATCAACCATTGTCCACAACAAAATGTTTGGCTCACATTGAAGACAATACCGAGCGACAAGGAAAGCACCCATTGTAATCCATCGCATCACACGCGGAGCTAATAGCTATGAAATGGATTGTAGATATCCAATATCGGAGGTTGATAGAAATTTGTCAACGTCGCGGTCGCCTGTGACGTTGGGGAAGACGACGTGGTTGACGTCGGGGACACAGCAACGACCACATCACCGTTTGAGCTACCGTTGTGACGATCATCACTTGAATTTGAAGCAACGGTCACAGCATTTGAAATTAAATCAACCGGATTCGTAGTGCTATCATTATATTCGGCAGGACTCAACGAGGGAGCTACAGAGGAAGCGGGAGGTGAAAGTTGTTCGTGTTGCGAGTGTGGTGAGGAATTTTTATTTGAAGTGGGGGAATACATTATTGGGGAGTGATCGGAAGTCGCCGTCGAAAACAGGAAAGGATTTGGAACTGTATTGACAGGATCGGATACGAGGACGGACGAGTGACAAGTTGGGCTCCAGGACTCGTTGAAACCTGACACACAAGGGTGAGCGCTATGCGGGGAATGTTGGAATTCATCAATAATCGAAGATCCCGGAAGATCGAATGCGTGAGTGTCCCTTGGTATTGTTAATTGTTGTGATACTGAGGGTGTTCTTTCGGCTGAAGGGTCAGTGGTCGGGGAGGATGCGTTCATCAAACTATTGCCTGTGAAGATGTTATCATAAGAGGCAGGAACTGATGAAGAAGGAACGGTAGGTACATTAGCAACCGACGATGGAACAGTAGGCGTATTGGTGGTAACCGCTGATGAAGATAGATTTGACTGTTCCGTTTTTACGGAGGCCGTTCGTTTATTGTCAAGACGCATACGCTTTGCCGACGGTAGGTCGTGTGATAACATATGCTTGGTGTACCCACGATTGACCTCTTGCAGTAGTTGGATGCCTATAAATTTTCGTAAATATAAATTATAAATAAAGATTATGAATTTTGTAGACGCCGAGTAAAAAAGATGAACGTCAACATACCTTCTGGAGAAGAATGGTAAGCTACTAATTGGGTCAATTCCATCAGGTGAACATGCTGTTTGTGCAAGTCTTCGGTTAAACTTCGAACTTCGGGAAGTAAACGTTCATTAACGATATCATTCATATTCTTTAGATCCTTCCGTAAATTCTCAGTGGTTTCAGTTAATTCAGCAATTCGTCTACGCATAGCACTCTCACTCTCAGACTTATCGACATGCGTCGCAAAATCTTTGGATTCGGTGAAGGAATTTATCAGGTAGTGTGACGTGGCATCTTTCGCTATGCTTCCATCCTTACTGTTGGTAGGAGACCCATAGACAGAGGGCGGGGGAGAAACCGGGTTTGGTTCACCCTGATTCTTTAATATTGAAGGTTCCTGACGTCGTGTCTTTCTCAAATTTTTGGTTACCTTGCGACGGATATTTGGCAGTAGATCCTGTCGACCACGTCTGAATTGAGAGTGTGAAAATACACAGGCGTGTTTGCTTCGAACATGTTTTGACTTGCGCGCATCCGAAACTCGATAGAATCCATAGATCTAGAGTAGACAATAAAGTGTTATTGACGATTGATCACATTTGATGAGATGATCATATAATTACATACATTGAGTTGACGGACAAAGGAAGTGAATTTGCAATGTTTAAAGTACTTTGGTAGTACATTCTGTGCAAACTCGTCCATATTACAAATCACAAACACGTCCCCGGTTTCATTCCACGTGAGATATTCCTTGTACTCATCACCATCGAGTAACCTATACCATGATCGTGAGTGAAACTGTGAGACACACGATTATCCAAAAAGTTTTCGGAAAAGCACGAAAGGAATGTTGCTACTTACTGGTATAATTTGGCGACGAAAACCGATACCGTGTCAAGATCATATTTACCCGAATCTTCTTGAAATAGGTTGTCACTTTCTGAGCAGGTGGCTAGATGCGAACTATCACCGAAGACATCGTAGGAAAGCATTTCATTTGATTGCGAAGGCATTATTGTGTTTGTCAAGCTATCACGTGTGTGTTCATTCGCTGACATGTCAGGTTTGAATAAACGTGACTCTTTGTATCGTCCAAAAATCGTGAGAATTGAATTGAATTTCTCGATCTTTGGTGATCGTCAGCACGGAACGGAAAAAGGAAGCAAGAGAGGCAAAGGTAATAATAATAATAAAGATTTTGTACAGACGAGAAAGAGATAATGGATAATGGCTGCGTGCGAGAATGAGAGAGAATTAGGAAAAGAATGTTGATAAGAATGCGTGGATAAAAACGTCGAGTGTATGTGCAATCAATTGTTTTTTCTGCGTGTTGGATAAGGTGGTGCGACAGTCTGCGTGTTTGGTCTACACAGAATCGTTACTTTTTAAACTTGTCCTGAGATGATTTTTTTTTTTTTTTACACGTATGGAATAGATTTCGTTTCAATAAGGATAAAGAGATATTGGCAAACGAAACACACCGACCACCACAAATTGTACTTTTGTTTCTGCAGCAGCAAACACAATGGCGGTTGCAAATGAAAGTGAAGTATAGATAAGGCATAAAAAACCGGACGCTTTTTTATATTTTTTTTTTAGAGAACTGCTACTAGCTCCCCATTTATCATAAAAGGTGCTGATAATTTTCGTGTGTGTGTGCGAAATCCAAGTCGAAAAGTTGTTGAGGATCTCTCAAGAGTTTTAGCCGTCACTTATCCCCCCTAAAACTGGTGGCCTTTTTGTATTTCAGGGGCGAGATTTCCGGATATTTAGTTACACAAGAAAAAAAGGGTTTTTTAGGAAATTTGGCAAACTGATAATAATTGTTATGCCATGTACGTAATCAAAAAAGAAAAATAATCGTATTTTATTTTTTTTCAGGTATCTGACGATTTTGGGTAGTGTGAGGGTGTGGGGCAAAAGAGAAAGAGAATAAAATCATTGTGCAGCCAAGAGCGAACACCACCTAACGCTGACAGCACACACACACATATTAAAACAAAAAAAAAAAACATTTGAATAAACTTCCCCGCTTTCTGCTTTCTAGAAAAAAAAACAAAAATATGTACGTATATACATATGTTGCGCGGTTGATCGATGAAAAAGATGATGACGACGGGTATTGATATATTTTTACCCGGCGCCTTCACATTTACGAGAAGCAAGATAATGCGAATTATTATGTATTACCCTAAAGAGTTATCTGCCATTCCACAAATTTATAAATAATATGTTCGCTGTGTGACACCTTTTACATTACATCGCCCGTACCGAACTACGTTTGCAAAGTTTTGAAACAGACTCGACAATTTCAAAGACCCAAAAAAAAACGTGGCGGATGATCTCGAGTAGAATACAATAATAAAATTGCCAGTTGACGGAATGCATCAATCTCGGATCATCAATTAATTTGGTAACGACTGAAATTCGGAAAGAATGCCTAGTGCATGAAATATTGAAGTAGAATAGGTTCTTTGTCTCGTTTCGCTCGCCATCTAATGTAGACAAAGAAAAGGGCTAGCGAGGACGTAAGACGGAAGATTTAATGAAGGTTGCATGAGGTGCTAAAAACCTATATGCTAGTCGATCTATATAGGAAACCGAAGACCTTTTTTTTACCGTAGTAAACGTTAAAAGATCCTAAAATGTGCATTGAATGCAAACAAGTATTTTTTTTGCAAATGAGAGAGCATGCATGAGCATGCCGCTAACCTGTTATAACTTTTCAGGCGCATTTACCGAGAAATTCCGGGAACAATTGAAGAAATGCGCGTTAGACAATAAGTCAAAGGAACCGAGGTAGCCGTAGATGTGCCAATTAAATCAAGTAACCCTCTTCAGCCTTCTTGGTTTATTTGCATTCAGAATTTCCTTATTATACTACGAGTACATATGTATGTGCGTGCCTCTTTTTTCACTTTTTTTTTTTCATTATTATTACAACGTGGCCTGGAAAATATTTATACTGTACTATATGTTGTTGTATGTATGTATACTTCTATTTCACGCCCCTGAAATATCTGCTGATGACGACATCGATTAGGTAATCAATGATTTCATCATTATAGTATTAGATGGACACCATCATTTCTATAATTATCATTTTTGGTATATGAGTATGGGCAAGATGTCAATTGCCATTAGAAAAAGCGTCGATCTTTTTTTTTTTCTTTAAAAAAAGATACCCTTGTATTCTCCGAGATTCGGTTTTGCCATTTCAAGAGACGCTATTTTTATAATATATGCGAGTCGTGTGGGTGCATATGAGCAGGAAAAAGCGATAGAATGGAACTTGTGCTACATCTCGTTAATAAAGTTCTCATTTTGACGCAGCGCCGTCCAAAGTAGGCAAGAGGACTTATAAGATACACAATGCAAAAATAAATTTTTTTTTGGGCGGAGAATTCACGAAAACTCCATCGGCGTTTCATACCCGGATCAATGTTGAATTAAGCACAAAAAACCTTTATAATCCTCTCCTAATATGTACAAATTTCCTGAGGATTTTTAATTAAATTCTAAAATCTACCACAGGTGCTTCTTTCAGACATATGAAAATTAATCCTCATTGACATTTGGAGAAATGAATGAATTTAATCATCCAATCGTGCTGAATAACGAGATGCATCTTTCCACCACACACGAAGACGATACACCAAATGTTCACCCCCATTATCCTTCTCGAGATTTGTGTCAGATCACCCCTGCAAAAATCAGACACATTCAGTTCCAAAAATATAAAAATGAAAAGAGCAATTATTAGGGAAAAAAAATGAACTTCCTTAATTGATCTCTTTTCCCCTCACTCAATTTGCTGTCCACCACACTGGCCGTTACGGTTGATTAATTGTTTATCATGATGTCGATGATATGATACTATAATTCTGTCATTGTTTTTGGAAATTTACCAAAACGAGTAAATTACCCAATTGATCTCCACATTAATGATTTATTCGAGGCAGTCGTTCCTCAGAAGGGTAACTGTCAACTCCAAAGAACCAATTACGTGTCGCTTTCTACAATATACTTTTGCGAAAATCATTGTGACCAGTAATAAGTGTAAATTAAAAATGGAAAACCTGCTTACGACTAGTTAAGCAGCATTGTGAGGAAATCCACGACAAAGTTCCCCGTGTTATACACCCGTACCTAACCTATCCATGTATGTACATGGGGTAACTGGCAAACATTACACAAACCATTTCACACGATCTCTCTTCTTACCTTTTCCGATCCCGGGTGGTGGGAAGCAAACTGTTTAAAGCAATCGGATCTCAAATGTGAATGGTCGAAATTAATCTAACGAGGTTCGAGGAAAGATTGTCATACCTAACTCTGATAATGTTGTGCGAGTAGAACAATGGGCGAAACAAAATGTTTCAAATGAGTATTACCGATCAAGGAATTTATCATGCGTAATGACCTTGCATCAATCAATATGAAAAGTTTTTTGTAAAAAATTAAAAAATCTTATTTCCGTGATTAAAACAATAGATATAATTTTATAATAATTTTATTGTTTATTTAAATCACGTAAATATATTTTTTATTAGTTATTGATTGATTTTTACAGCTTTAAATATATACAAAACTATAACAATAGTGATATATCAAGATATGTTGCTATAAGCATCAATCTGTTAAAATAAATATTTTCTATAAAATCTTATATTTTGGAAACTATATAAGAAGTTATTTACTGTTTTATATTTTAAAGAATTAGTAATTTTATTTTTTATTTATATTTAATAAAAAAGATTTTTTTAATAAGAAAATACAATTAGAAAAAAGGTTTGAAAAGAATAAATTGAAAGTTGTAATGAAGCTTAATTAAATTTTATATTTAAGTTAATGCATTTGATTTTCGATAATAGTTTCAAGAATATTTTTTTGTATTATTACAAATCAATATATAAAATTTTAAAAAATAATTAAAAAGATTTGTATGTCAAATAGAAAAATAAATTATAAGTTTCAAATAATTATAAAATAAAGAAATTTTTATTTAAGTTAACAA